CTTGTATTATTTTATAAAAAGGAGGATTTCTGTGTTTGGTCTTTAGAAGATGCCTGAATTGATTTTGAGCTCATACCCTAAATTACAGGAATTCTGGGTTCTTGGAAATTTGGGTTTTTTGAATTTTGGGTTCTTTAATTGGCCCTTAAGCTTCATAGAAATTTTGGGTTTTGTGTTCATTTTTGGCAGATTTTTGGTGTTTTGGTTTTGGCGTTTTTTAAATTTTGAAAAATTAGCGTTTGGCACACCTTGTTGTTAATCGTATTTTTAATTTTAAGTCAGGGCGGCGCAAATTTCGATGGCACAAAAGTCGCGGCACAAATATTAGCGGCGCAAAAGTCGTAGAACTCTTTCTCTTATATGTATTTACTATTATGAAAATTTTATATGTAAACATAGTAGTATGTATAAAGACCGAGGCATTTATCGAGAAACTTTCAATAATACTGGGAAGTGTTCAACTTATTTGGAATAAATCCAAATTTTGTGTAAAATACATAATAAACATACGTATCGCAGACTTGATAAAATCCGTAACATCTTCCATACTTCTCAGTGCTCGTACAATAATAAATAAATTTGTCGGCGTCACGCGAGTAATGTCTTGTAAGAACACCAGTTGCGTCTGGATAACATTCTTTCCTGTTAAATAAAATTTTTATATTTTTGCAAAAATATTAATTTAACGAGGTCTTAATTTTTATTTTTTATTACATAATTAAATGTCTTAATTTTCGATATGTGTACAAGCACGCCAAATACATTTATTTAAAGAACAATTAGTTGAGACTAGCTTTTGCTTTTCTGGGTATCCGTAAAAAATGTCTGTGTTTATCCACAAACCGTCAACCTTAGTTAAACCAGGGTAGCAACCCGACCCCAGAAGCCACGACCCCGACGGATTTTTTGTCAAAAACTCCGACCCGAACCCCAAACAGGGCTATGCGCTATGTCGTTTTTGCGTGGCGTTTGGCGTGTTTTTCCTATTTTGGCGCGCCAAAATGCCATTATTTCTTCAACACTAATGATGGAAATTTTTTAAATAAATGGGAGGATGATTATCAGAAAAGGGAATTTTTCTGCCTACAGACCAGGAAATCCCCGGCAAACCCCGATCCCCGACATACCCGACCCCGAAGGGTCGGGAAGCTACCACCATAATTAAAACCCATCTATATTTGTTTAGTTAATATAAAATTACTAACAAATCAATGTGCATATCATATTTCCCCGATGGAACTCTTCCTGACTTTTCAACTCCAAGCGAAAAATCCAATTCCTTTCCTATTTTGTCTCCATTGCGATAGATTTTATCAAGAGTGTGGACATAGCAGCGTTTTGCTGCTCTACAAACTCTATAATACATAATACATATACATTTTTTCTTTAAAGTAAATAGGTTACTTACATATCCGCAGCTTTTTCAAACGGCTTAAAATCCTCATCACAACTAGAAATAATATAATCATTTATTAATTTAACGGTTTTTTGTCGGGGTGATTTGGTAAATAAAGTTTTAAGTTGTATTTTAGAAAATTTCTCAGAACGGTTTCCAGGCAAAAAATAAGTTAGCTCCGGTTGAATTAAGTACCCTGTTTCTGATAAGAATAAGATGTTCTTTATTATATGCCCACCGAGATCGAAACTCGAAGTATATATCATTCGATTCGTCTTGCCGAGCTGAGTTCAAATATGAAAGATTTTCTGCCGGAGACGAGAACTCGCAGAGATATAGGCCCCCGAAAATCGAAAAACCGTAGGGAGGAGTAAGCTAGATTTTGAGTTAGTTTCGATCTTGGTGGGCATATAATAAAGCGACCCCCAAAATATTTAACTTACATGGGAAAAACCCTAAATTCTTTGTAGTGAACTAAGCATTTATAGTCGTTTGTATAGTCCGGGAGATTATTGCACCACGATTGCTTAAGTGGGCAAGGATAAGGTTTAAGCTTGCTCTCATCTATGTATGCACGTTTTAAACTGTCGCATTTTCTAACGACCATAATCATCAACAAAAAAGCCAACAATTCTCGCATCTTTCCTGACTCAAAAAATTTTTTAAAAATGCTTGAAAATGCCTCGTTTAATTACTTTAATTTTAGGTATACGGTAAACGGTGGTTTTGGTAAAATTAAACGGAACGGTATACGGATCTCAGATAAGATACGGGTCTCAGCCCCATTCTATAATACAGCCCCAGTCTGGAGGATAGCTGAAAAATACAGCCCCATGGGGCTGTATTTGGAAAAATACGGTATCTATTAAGTGTTCTCTTTGTTAATGGAATCTCAGGGTTAACGTCAAAAATCAAAAATGAGGTTTTTTGAACAAGAACACTGCATTTACTATATTATTTAGCGGCTGATCAGAACAAACTGATATTTTATATATGTATATCATAAATCGTGAAATAAGAAAAATATTAAAATATGATCCTATTTAAGTCCAAAAAATTTTTAAAAAAGGCCCGAAATAGGTTGAAAAAAGTCAACATAGGTCGAATAATAGGTACAAGATTTTTAGTGTAAAAACACTCATTTATACGCATACTAATTTTAAATTAAAAATTTTTTATACGTACACAAATTCCACTGCTAATTCTCCGTTAGTTTTATAAATTTTAAAATTGTGAAAAAAATTATGAAATAATAAAATTAATATCGTTATTTTACTAAAAATATTTTATATATTTAATGAATGATTCACTTAGTTTAATCAAAATAATTTATAATTTTTAATAAAAATATTTTATATGGATAATTATTTAATGTTTGCCTATTTGGATGATCAAATAAATAAATTTTGTTTAAAAGCTCAATCTAAAATATCAACATTCTATAGGCCAAAAATACAGTTTCAGGAAGGGGTATTTAACAGTCAAACTTCTGGAACCCACCGAACAATGGCTGTAGTTTAGTATACCGGAGTTTTAGTTCCGTTGCAAGACTCACACCATTCAATTTGTCTCAGCGAGCTGAGTCAAACGGTTTCACTCTTTTTTGCCGGAGATGCCTGTGGACCGAGATATAGGTCCTCGAAAATCGAAAAACCATAGGTTACGAGCCCAGAACCCAGCGACCGTAGACTCCCGGCACGCCCCATAAGCCGACGCCCCATAGGTTTACGTTGACCATTTTAAACCTTTTTATCTTTGCTCAAAATGATTTTTTTATCTTGGCTCAAAATGATTTTATCATGGCTCAAGCTGATTATAGAGATCGGGCTCGACTCAGCTCGACGAGTTCTTTTGAATGACTATCATTCGAAAAATCGAATTTTTCACCAGAAAATTTTGCTTGGCTTTTCGATTTTTGAAGACCTATATCTCGGTCCACAGGCATCTCCGGCAAAAAAGAGTGGTACCGTTAGACTCAGCTCGCTGAGACAAATCGAATGGTATGGATCTTGTAACGGAACTAAAACTCCTTTATACTAAACTATATCCGAAACACTTTTAGTGTGGGATAAATACAGATCTATCAATTTTTATTTATCTTTAAATTTAGTCTAGATAAAAAATTTTAACTATATTATATCGTGTTTTAACGGGTACAGCCCAACTAGTCGCGGGCCGACTAGTCGCGACCGATTAGTCGCGGCCGACTAGTCGCCGGCCGATTAGTCGCGCGGCCAACTAGTCGCCGGCCGATTAGTCGCCAAGCTTTTTAATTAAATATTTTGTAAATATGTACAACTGATTAATCTTTTTAAAATGTTAATGTCCCATAACGGCTTCAGTTATGTGATGAAAGGATAAAGGAAGTGTCCACGCCATGAATCTCGCCAAGGGAATAGGCCAAATATATACCCCTAAGGATGGACTTTTTAGCAGAAATAGAGGAAATTTGGCCTATGTTCCTTCAAAAAATTCTAAAATTTTGCCTGCGGCGTTGAAAGAAGGAGGAATTTAGGCTCAAGGATCATCTAACAATAAGTTTAAAAATTTTCGCCCGCAGCGCTGAAATGATAAATTATTATTGTTTTCTGAAAATTGTTCCGAAATTTATTTTACCGGAATAAAACCGGACCGGATTGATCCTGAAAATCCGGCAGGATCTGGTCCGGCATGAGTTTCAAATTCAAAATCCGATTTCCGGGCCCGGAAAAATAATTTTGCCGGTCACAAATATGAATATTTAATTTAAAAGCTTGGCGACTAATCGGCCGGCGACTAGTCGGCCGCGACTAATCGGTCGCGACTAGTTGGCCCGCGACTCGTCGGGCGTGTCCCTGTTTTAACTCATAGTATAATAAGTTTATTGTTATACTGAATTATTATCATAATTACAATAAAAAATATTATGTATATTTTATCAAAAAGATGTATCAAATTCTCAAAATATTCAGATCACCACATTAAAACATTTTTTGAAAAACGGTTGACGTATTATAAACTTATAGTAGTGTGTCGGATTATTTATAAAATAAAGTCCTTTGAATAGAACAAATTTTTACATAACTATGCCATTAATTTTGATTTGGGTTGAGAACCATGACTAGATTCTAGATCTTTCGTTAAGGAAAAATCTTGGTCTTGACCAGATCCAGGCCGATCTCTAGTATTTAGATATTTCTTTATCAGTTTAAGCGATCATTTTATAATTTTATTTTTGCATTGAACGGAAAGAGAAAATAAATATTAATTTTAATGAATCATTAATATAATACTAAATTTAATTTAACGTTTCCCTTGGTCAAATGATTAGAATTATAGCACATAAAAGTGGGAGAGATTTAATTCTGATCACCTGACCGAGCAAAATGTTAAACAAAAATTAAAAATAAATTCCAATTTTGTATTAATGATTCATTAAAATTAATATTTATTTTCTCTATCCGTTCAATGTAAAAATTAAAATTTAAAAATGAACGTTTATAGTGTCAATAAACACTAATTAAATCACATTGACTATTTTATATTTTATTTATCCAAAGTATATTTTTATTTAAAAAATTTTAATTTTTTTTTATTTTTAATTTATTTTCAGTTTGTTTTTGTGATGAATTTGCTTTTTATTTTATTTTTATTTATATTTTTGAATGAGGTTTTGTTGTCAGATTCTGTTAATCTTGCCCAGAGAAAGTCCAAATGGAAGACCGTGTTTAGCAACAAAACATGCTCTACCGGAACTTTCCCATGCCCCGAAATTTTGAATTTGTTGAAGAAAGTAAATAAATGTAATGGGTAAGTATTGCCGTTTTGGATGAATTAAAAGTGATCAGACGGGTCATTTGGAATATTATCAAGTATAAAATTGAGCTGGAACAGTCGGAGGCGTTTGAATTCAGAACTAGAAAAAGAGGCAAATCTGAAATTTTAGAAGAGTGCCTAAAATAGTATGAACACATTTAGTTGGTTGGCGCGGAACAGGATCCCGCGTGTTATTTTGATGGCCCCCAACCTCATAACCATCAATTCTTTTGATACTAGATTTATCACGCAAAATTGCGGGGTTATCCGTAAATTTGCTTCCGCTGTTTCTAGAAAAATGACTTAACGGGTTCTACAAACAGATTCGGCCGACAAGGAGACAAAAATTAAATTTATGTATTATAATAAATTATAATTTAAAATAGACTCATCGTCTGTTACCCCTCCCTCCTCTCAAACGCACATTTCTCGGAAAATACAAAGTTAAACAATCGTTTTACTTTTAATGAAACAAACACAACAAGGATTTGTGCCAAATGTATTGAAGGGAAACAATGCAAAGGGCCGGATGGAGTTAAAACTGAATGGAGCGGAGTTCGAGTGTTTTATGATGAAAAAGAGAATAGTCTTGAAGTAAATTTGGATATTTTTGGGAAAAGGTATGTGAAAAATACAGTCTCTTTGATAGCATAAATTATTTTTAGATACACAAGATTAGGTATTTCCAATTTAAAATGCGATTTATAAAGCTTCGCTGTCCACTGATACTTGTAGGATTATTTTAAGAGAGTTTTATCAGCTACCCTTAGCTTTTTACAATTTTTTCGAAAATTGTACATGTGTTAAGAGAATGGCATTATTCAGAGGGATCTCTGCAAAATGCCATTCTCTAGCAAGTCATTTTAAGAATAGTTATACAATGCATGATTTTTTCAGATCAAGGGTGTTATAAATAAGTTTAGACTGGCTGTAAATAATAAAAAAAACTTAATAAAAATTTTTTTAATAGAAATACCCTTCATATTAATGGAACGACTGCAGTCGATTTTCTTCAAGCATTATCAGACAAAAATCTTATATGTACTTTTATTAACAATTTTATTTTTTAATTTATAATTTTAAGCAAAAATAAGAGAACAAAGCAATGTAGACAAGGAATATTTTGAAGAAAGAGCTGGTGGGGCTTGGTTAGAAGATTATTTGGGTGTTTTGGCATTAAATATTGATTTGGGTATTGAGGTTCCTGAAATGAATCGGGATATTGCTTTTGGAATGCTGTACCGTCGGAATTACCCTATCAAATGTCGCCAAGGAAAGGTAGAGGATTTATCTGTAGTTAAATGAACAATAGTGTTTAACACGGATTTAAACTGATGTGTAGGGTTAACGAATTAATTCATGCTTATTGTTATTAAATAAGTAATAGCTTAATATTAGAAACCTGCCAAAACAGAATCTTATAAAATCTCGATTATCCTATCTGTATTCAAAGGTGTAAAAATGACGTGTAAAAGTTTTTGTCTCACATGTTACCTACATATTTTCTTTAAGAATAAAATTTTATCCTTTCATTTTTGTTTAATATTATAGAAAAAAACTACGACAACGGCCATAATTCCAACTCACAAAACAATCAAAAATTTAGAAACTAAATATGGAAATAAAGTGACCGAAAAAATAAATAACATAACGGCAATACCTAAGAAACCCACACCGACAACTGCTATTACAACATATAAACCTCCAACTTCTTCCGCTCCACTTGTAGGTTTTAGGATAAAATTAGTTGGAAAATTAACTTAAAAAAATTAAAAAAAATAAAATTAGCTCGGGACTTTTTAGTCTAGCTATCATATGAATACTTGCTTATGATTTCTTAAACGTAAATGCATTCTTGGATACATTCAGCAGATTTGTCGAGTATTTGGAACTTTTAACACCGTGCGTAAAAACATCAAGTACAAGCTTAGCACCAAGAGACCAACCGAACGAATCGATACCAGAGTTCGTTTGAACTTAAGCATTCTAACTATGAACGAGAAATTTTAAAAATGAAATAGTTCCTAAAAATATTAAATTTTTCCTTCTTATTACAGGATCAATGCAAATTGTTTAACAATCCAGAACTGATCGAGCGATATGCCTGCAAGTAAGTTTAAGAGAACATTTATGTGTATATCATGGATGGGATTACTAGAAATTGATGAAAATTTATTTTATCCATCCATGATACCAATCTACGTAAACATATACTAATAATTTTAATATTTTTAGCTGCGCTAACTTATCTATGCGAGAACTTAATGAGTATGTTATTTTTTAAATATACGCTAATATAGTCAGTACACCTCATTACCGTATTATGCACGTTTCAGTCTCCAATTTTAGTTGTACGGTTCATCTCCTTTGTATATACCTCATTCAGTCTCAATAGTTTAATGAGATTTAAAATTAGGCAATTCAGCACTAAGCAAGTTTTAAATTCGAACAGCAACTCACTTTACCAACACAAATAACAGCGAGTGCTTCAATTAGTAGTTTTATAGCAAATTCCACCAAAGGAACGAGAGACTGAACCGTGCCATGCATAGTAAATGAACTGCCCCGGATATAGTTAACTAATTATAAGAGTTATCGTATTTTAAAAAGAAGGGTTGTAATTCAAAAGTTATTAGGGCTTAGTTTCATTTCTATGAATGTATGCGACATAGAATTTAAATGTCAATCGAGAAATATCAACACAAACTTGCGTCTTTTATTACCCTACAAACTCCGACGTAGGTTTGTGCTAACAGGCATTGTCATGGATACGGATATGGATACAGATAATATAAAAATGCCTGCGGATATCCGCCTGTATCCGTGTTTATCCGCCGTAAATATGCGGATACGGATACCAAGATCAGTATCCGTGACCATGCCTGTGTGCTAACATTTGTTGTCGCTTCGTGGAACATTCCCAGATATCGTGTTAGTGTATTTAGTCTAAATCCATCGAATGAAATTGTTTTAAAGTAAAAAAGTAATCTAACTAAGATGTTGTGAAAACTACCATAAATGCCTCTCAAAAGTAAATGATATCGATAATAATTGTACTTTCTCCACAAACATGTATTATATCTCAATTAATGTATCCAACTACGATTGGAAGTGTAATGAATGTTCGAGAGTTAAAAATGATCATTGCCAACAAGAACAGTGTTTGTGTGATAAGTAAGTGATGGGAGACAATTTTAAAATAAAATCATTTTTTGCTCAGTCAATTTTCATTACAATTTTCATTACAATTGTCAAAAATAGTAAGACTAAATAAAAAAATCCATTTTAGGCAAGTCATTCAATGCTGGTCGCAAGTCCCTACTCCAGAACCTCCAAAACACAAACTAAAATCCAAAAATTATGTAGATAGCTGTAAGGCAAAATTTTTGGATCAAGTCAAAAATAATCCGGATATGCCTATTGTTAATGCTACTAGGATTCGGCGAAATAATGGAATAATTTTGGATAAATTAGACAAGATTTCAAATGAAATAGAACTCGGAAATAGAGATTGGGCAACTATTATAGAATTTCTCAATAAAACTAAAAAAATGGCGGACAACTACACAAATGAACTCGTTACGGCATACGACATAATGAATTCAACTTTATATGAAGCAGCGTTTAAATTAAAGGATGCAACCAAAAAAGCAGCTAAAACCAATGATGAGGATGATTTACTAGCTGTAGAGATTGCTTTTGATGAATTTTTTAAGGTATGATCTTGTAATACCTAAAGCTTGATTTACCTATAAGCTTGAAATACATAAAGCTTGAAATACCTAACATTGTAATACTTAAAAGCTTGGAATGTTGTGACTTATACTAGGTTTTTTGTTTTTGGACCGATTAGGTCAAGTGAGGTGTCATTCGAAAGAGCTTCGAAAACTGAATCGAACTAGGGGTGGGAGAAGTCGATCCGACAATCAGGGACCGAGATACAGACCCCTGAAGTTTGAAAAAGAGAAGGGGGGAGTAAGCTCATTTTGGGGTGAAAAATTCGAAAATGCAACTAATAGCTCATTCGACTCAGCTCATCGAGCTGAGTCGAATGACACCAAAATCAGCTCGATACCTTGATTCTGAGCCAAAATAAACAGGTTCAAAATGGTCAACGTAAACCTATGGAGCGCTGGCGAGGCGCTTGTGCGAAACCCCGCGCTTCGCGCGGGGTTTCGCGACACGCGCCTCGCGGGGAGTCAACGGTCGCTGGGTCTGGGTCAGTAACATAAACCTATTCCTATCTCCCTTGTTCTGGACGTACTTGGGGCCTCCGTAGCAGCAAAAACCTCCTCATAGACCATAGGTAAGGAGCTAAAACAAACGATCATAACTTTTTCCAATCAAGTCGGATTTCGGTGATTTTGGTGTCATTCGACTCAGCTCAACGAGCTGAGTCGAATGAGCTATTATTTGCATTTTCGAATTTTTCACCCCAAAATGAGCTTACTCCCCCCTTCTCTTTTTCAAACTTCAGGGGTCTGTAACTCGGCCCCTGATTGTCGTACCAACTTCTCCCACCCCTAGTTCGATTCAGTTTTCGAAGCTCTTTCGAATGACACCTCACTTGACCTAATCGGTCCAAAAACAAAAAACCTAGTATAAGTCACAATACCCAAAGCTTGAAATACCTAAACCCCAAAAACGCTTGAAATACCTAATTGTGGAAAAAAGCTTGTAATACCTAAGCCCCAAAAATATTTGAAATACCTAACCTTAGAAATAAGTTTGAATTACCAAATAAATACAAGCTACAAATTCTTTTGGTTATCTGTCTATGTACGACCCTAATGTACACAATGGGTTTTATCCCAACAATAGGAGATATGTCCCAACTGAAAAAGTTGTTCCCGCATTGGAACGTCTCACCGTTGACAGAACATTTCCCCGTTCACGGGACAACTTCCCCCGTTCACGGGACAACTTCCCCCGTTCACGGGACAACTTCCCCCGTTCACGGGACAATTCCCCCGTTCACGGGACAACTTCCCCCGTTTACGGGACAACTTCCCCCGTTTACGGGACAACTTCCCCCGTTTACGGGACAACTTCCCCCGTTCACGGGACAACTTCCCCCGTTTACGGGACAACTTCCCCCGTCACTGCATCAATATCC